GTTGGGGGGGGGGGGGGGGCAAGGGGGGGGACGGGGGGGGGCATTGCCCCCCACCCCCAGCTTGTATGTTAAAAAAGGCCCTGCCAATGTTGCCTTCATTACAATTACTATAAAATTTCTTTCAAACATCGCATTAAAAGGGTACTTGACACAGAGATGAATTGCTATCACTGTTTCAATTTTACAGACAAATGTTTTTACGAAGTGTAGAGCCTAACGCCTGTATTCTAAAAGCTCACTCATACTCAAAGCTCACTCATACTGAACTTCTCTTGAGTGTCAATGCCGTTATTCAAAAACAGCAGTGACACTCGAGAGAACCTCAGATTGAACTTCCACTCACTGAGTGGGAGTGAGCTTTTAGAATACAGGCGTAAGAAACCAAATTTTCACTTTGATCTATCGTTGAAATTTTCCCAAGTGGAGGTGCATGACTTTTCAGGGGAGGTGCAAAAATTCTCAGGGGAGATGCAAAACAATCTCTGGGGAGGTACGAACCTCCCCACAACTCGTTCATTTTTACGTACCTATTGGCTATACTTTTTATACTTTGGACAAAAGTAACGGAATGCGGAATTTATGAAAACCCACGGTATTTAAATTGTTACAGACAATTAAACAAAGTTGGTGCAATAATTAACCTGCTTTTCATATTTCAGATTCTTGGTTTTCTTAATTTATTTGTGTGGCTGGGAAATCTGTGGTTTTTGTTCAAAGAAACTCCCTGGCATAATCCCCAACGAGATGAATTCCAGAGTGAGTAGCGAAACTATATTCTACTCTTCGCCTGTACAAACTATGGAATATTCAATATCAGATTCTGTAGACCAACCACTTGGCCACCCGCAGATGAACACTTGAATCTATATGTATCAACTTTAATATTATGACTGCCTTTTTTGGTGCAAATCTTAGTTCTTTAAACTTCCCTCCCCCCTCAGGGTTCTTTTCAGGGATTTTTTAGGGCCGTAAAACGGCCCCAAAAACTCAATCTTGAATTGAGTTTTGAAACTCAATCTTCTCACCAAAAGATTCTGTGCAGTAAAAAAAAGTTGTTTGAGTTAAATTCATGATGTGTGCAAATTAGTTTTCAGTTGAAAACCCGAAAATTAAGTAAACAATGGCTGGAATTCATTTCACAACACAAGAAAAACAATGCATTCACCGTCTTTAACCAGTTTATAGTGTCCCTCAGTGCCCTTGCTTTAACACATTGCAGCTCAACAACACTAAAGTGGGTACAGGTTTCAGCCTCCCGGTAGGGGGGAGGAGACAGTCGCCTTAAGACCCCCAGCTGTTCAGCTAAACTCAATCTTCTCTGCAAAAACGGACCCAAGAGAAAATCCTGAAACCCCCCCTGAAATTTCATCATGCAAGGCGTAAAAAAAGTACCTGTCCGACCCCATTTTTTTCTGCCGACCCTATTATTTTTTCAACGCGATTGACCGTGCGACCCTATTTTCTCCAGGTGGTTGCGGGCTGCCTAAATTCGTCCATAGGAAATACGCATCTCTAGTTAATATTGATGTCGGGACTCTACTGCAAATCGCCCAGCAAAAACCGCCAAAACCATGAAAAAAATATTCAGAAAAAAATTATTTCCGACCTACCGACCCTAATTTTTTAACGATATGAAACGGGAACCACAGGTATTTTTTTACGCCCAATGATGAGCCAGGAACAGCTCTGCGAAAAATGCAACTATAAGCCCTCTGGCAAGGATCGAACCTGTGGCCCTAGGATAACACTAAGTCGGTTTCCTCAAACATTTCTTACAAATCCTTCAAAACTTAGAATTTACCTTTGCAAAATTCCTACTGTGATCACAGAAACTTTGATAGTGTAAACCATCCTTTATAACACTCAGTAAGTTTCCTCAAACATTTCTTACAAATCCTTCAAAGCTTAGAATTCACCTTTGCAAAATTCCTCTGTGAGCACAGAAACTTTGATAGTGTAAACCATCCTTTATAACACTCAGTAAGTTCTCTCGGACATTTCTTACAAATCCTTCAAAACTTAGAATTTACCTTTGCAAAATTCCTACTGTGATCACAGAAACTTTGATAGTGTAAACCATCCTTTATAACACTCAGTAAGTTTCCTCAAACATTTCTTACAAATCCTTCAAAACTTAAAATTTACCAATGCAAAATTCCTACTGTGATCACAGGGACTTTGATAGTGTAAACCATTCTTTATAACACTCAGTAAGTTTCCTCAAACATTTCTTACAAATCCTTCAAAACTTAGAATTCACCCATGCAAAATTCCTACTGTGATCACAGAAACTTTGATAGTGTAAACCATCCTTTATAACACTCAGTAAGTTTCCTCAAACATTTCTTACAAATCCTTCAAAACTTAGAATTTACCTTTGCAAAATTTCTACTGTGATCACAGAAACTTTGATAGTGTAAACCATCCTTTATAACACTCAGTAAGTTTCCTCAAACATTTCTTACAAATCCTTCAAAACTTAGAATTTACCTTTGCGAAATTCCTACTGTGATCACAGAAACTTTGATAGTGTAAACCATCCTTTATAACACTCAGTAAGTTTCCTCAAACATTTCTTACAAATCCTTCAAAACTTAGAATTTACCTTTGCAAAATTCCTACTGTGATCACAGACAGAGACTTTACAAATCGATATTTTCCATTATTTTCGTTTTTATAACTGACGCCTTCTTCATTTTTCCAGACGAGTCAGTTCAGTAAAACTTCCTGGTGGACGTTTCGTGAGAACAATATTATAGATCTATTTATAATATTAAAAAAAGCTAGCTGGTATATTAAACTTTTGTTGTTGTGACGTGACGTGAAGCGAAGCATATGGAAAGCATTTCGTAGTTGGAAAGTTTGAAAATGGATCTCTTATAAGTTCCTTGGCAATAAATGTAGTTAATTTGTTTTGTGGAAAACATCACGTTTATTATGATAATTAGGTAAACTCTGACTCGCACCCAGTCCTTGAATGAAGCAGACCTGGAAATATTATAATTCCAGCAGTTCATAGATCCTACGCCAAGGGCAAATTATTTCTTTGAAAACACAGTTTAAACACCTTGCAATTTTTGTTGCGATTTCTGGTGGGAGTTTCTTCTGATGCATGTGAACGAGTAATATACAGGGTGTATAAAAAAAAAGGTAATCGAACATCAGCGCGTTATTATACGTGAATCACTCGGCGTATGAACAATTGGTTCTCATATTCGGAAAGACCAGGCTTTTAGCTATTGAATGACATGCTTTTCATACCAAGTGAAGAAAAAATAAGCATGTACGAGGCCGATTAGTCAAAATCGCATATTTTCACCTCTGTGCCTAATTAAAACAATGCATAACAAAAGAAAAAGCAATTAATCACTAACGTGTCGTAGCTTAGCTAAGATTTATTCCTACTTTATAATAATTATGAATATGTGTGTAGTTTAATGAAGTGAAATTCATCAACTTAAGTACCAAAGGGAGTTCATTTTCAATGGTTTTAGACCCAACTCTCAACGGTGAAAATATGCGATTCTGGATGACTAACATTTTTTATCGGATTCGTATTTGCTCATTTTTTATGAAGAAGATATCATTCAACAGCTAAAAGCATGATCTTTCCGAATGCGTTAAAATCTCGTTCATACGCAGAATAATTCGGATACAATAGCGCGCTGAAGTTCGATTACCTTTTTTTATACACCCTGTATAATGGCATGACGAAGCAATTATGACAGAGCAACTAAATTAATTTCAAACCACTATGCATGGCCGAGACATAGCATACAAGGGTAGTCTGGTAAAACTGCACCTGTTGGCTGTTGCCTGTTGCCACTCTTGAACAGGACTTTCTTCTATGTATACTGTCCACCATGATCTATACCATAATCTAGTATTAGATAATTTATATAAAAGTACTTATGTTGGTTAAATATTATGAGTATAATAACAAGTGCTTAAAAACATGAAAGATATTTTGTGAGAGAAATGAACTTAAAGTTCAGTATGTAAATCACCAGGAATTTGTATCGGGAATTTGTATCCTTCACGGTTATGATTTCGTTCGTGTTCAATTTTCCTAAGAATTAATACAATGTACTGCAACTTATTTGAGACAACAAAGACTGACGATTAAACGGAAATCAAATTCTTCACAATGCATGCTATATAAACTTGTAGCAATTGAGATTGAATGCAATTGATCTAAAATAATATATAAAAGGCCAGGATAGCTCAGTCGGTACAGCATTCATCTGGAGATTCCACGTTCAATTTCTCGCCGCGCAAACTCAGCATATGAGTAGCATGGTTTTAGGTATAAACCATGGAGGTTTGCCGCTCCGCCTCGACAAAACATTTCCCTGCATGGTCTAGCCAAGGGAATAGACTCCCCAGCAGCGAGCACAGCTGATACCGCCAATACGCCTCTTCGACCTATATCTACTATTTACCGACCAGTAGGCAATATAGTGCAGGTAGCTGTAAGGAGTGGAATGACCGGGGGGGGGGGGCGACAGCTGCGGTTGACTCGAATGTGTTTCGTTATTTAATATCTATTCCAGCATGCAATAGAATCACGATAAAGGTTTTTTTGCTTCTCAGCAGTATTTATATACAAGTATTAGGTACTATTTACAAAACTGATGAGCGGTCGTGTTGTTGGGATATACAAACTCGAGCCGACGCGAATGTTGTAAATGGCTTGTGAAACGTCTTGATGAGAACATTCGTATTCGTCAACAATTTCGAATAAATTAATGATATTTGGTGAGAATTAAATTGAACTTAAAGTTTTGTGAATCAGCATGATTTTGTTTTAGTTATATACAAACTCCTTCACGATCATAATTTCTCTTGTGTTTTCTTCATGAATTATTGACGAATTTCACACTGAAAAATGAATGAAGTAGAATCGATTGGAAACCACAATGGGATACAATTTGTCTTAGAGTACAATTTCTATGTATACATGCAGTTCTGTGCATGACAGTACGTTCATGTTGCCGTTCATTGTTGCCGTTCATTGTTGCCGTTGTTCATGTTGCCAATTGGCAATTAGTAGTTGAAGCTTCTATTCCTAATTTTATTGTTGGCATTTTAGAAATGCCAGAAATGGACCAATACAACATGCCAAATTAAAATCGAGAATGAGTTAATTATAGACGGTGATATTGTAAAGTTGAGAATGTTAGGACTTTGACATTACTGACATTGTTAAGATCGTAACTGAAGTTTCGTTATTTTCTGTTTATCGACATATGGAAATATCATTCAATTTTAGAGATAACCAAATTATAAACATAGCTAATTGTTTAAACTAATCTTGATAGATTTTGTCTCGAAATTGATCAGTCTGGAAGTCGCCATTAGTGACTACAGGCGTCGTCGCAATATCCTACCAGGCTAAATTAGCTTTATTTTCATCAGTTGGTTTCGATCGCGTACGTGCCCTGCAGCTATGTAAAGTTAAATATACTCTATTGTCTCATGAAAAGGTCAGCGTGTATTGTTTTTAACTGAAATAAGATGTGGTTACAAGCTCAGTTAAATGTAGTAAAGTTTGCAAAAACATATCTTTTGCCGGAGCATTTGCAGATTTGTCAAATAGCTAAATTGGAGCACAGGAGCACTAAGTTTAAAATACTGAATAAAACATATCAGAGAAACTCTCTCTATTATAATGTGGGTTAAACCTTTATTAAAGACATTTATTTATAGGCCTTGTTTAATAATTACTGAATGCCGAATTTTTCATGCGCTTATAATGCAAATGAGCTCAAGGGAGCGACCCCCACCCCCCTCCCATACACAGTAGTTTCTAAATGCCTTTAAACAATGGCCGATTAAGTGAGTTACTAAGTTGTAACGACGTTTTTCCACTGAACAATATTCACAAGTACTATTTAGAACATGAGCGGCCGTGTTGTATCGGATATACAAACTGGAGCCGAAGGCGAGAATTTGTATATCCGATACAACACGGACGCGGATGTTGTAAATGGCTTGTGAAACGTCTTGTCTCTTGATGAATGATGAGAACATTCGTATTCGTCAACAATTGAAAATAAATTAATGATATTTGGCGAGAAAATGAACTTCAAGTTTACGTAAATCAGTATGATTTTGCATGTATGATTTATTTTGTGTATTAATAACTCATAAGAATTATTAATAAGTTTCGTTGAAGGATGTAAGGTCTACCTGAAAAGTATACTTTGTACTTTGACTTAAAGGTCCGATTACTGTACACTTGCAATTGTTGTGCGATATTCTTCTTTTGACGCATGTGAACGAGTGGATGAGGTATAAATGTTCATAGGAGAGCACATTACCTGTGACATTACTCAGAAGTCAGAACAGTCATGACTCATCTCGTTCACATCCATCAGAATAAAAAATCGCAACTTCAACCAAGCTCGTGAATATTATAGCATGTTTTCAATGTTTGGGGAAGCATGTGCATGACGTATAAAAGTGCATTAACTAAGGCAATTTATTTTCCCAGAAAGATCCAGATAAGGTAAATGACTCATTGATGTTATTGATGTTGATACAATACGGAAGATCCCATTTCTCGTGTGAAAGTGCCAAGCCGTTAATAATGATTGTTGGTTTTCCACGCGGTTAATGTTTTTTCTCACTACCGTGCGCGCGAGTGGGAGGGTAATATGTTTTATCTGACAGCTTGTTTAAGATCTTTCCAAAGCGGTCTTCTTCACACAAACATCTGTTGCTTAGAACTTTCACATGTCGGTCAAATCTTTTATTTTCTATACCGACGGATTAAAGTACTCTCTCTTAATTTGCTTATAGCAATTAATATGTTCTCCGTAGACTTGTTCGTGATTGCTGTCTGTGAACTTTACCTTGGTACGGGGAGTTCCTTTTCGGCGAACTATAGTCTGTACCAGTGGTCTGTATACAGTACTTTCTATTGCATTGTTGAGGACCCTCCCTGAAAACCACAATTAGCGGGAGCTTCCTATATACTCAAATATTGTTAGTAATAATAATTGCGAAACTCATTAATAATTCATGAGAAAAATGCAAAAGAAATCCATATCATGACCGTGAAGGATATCTGATACAAAATCATGCTGATTTACATAAACTTTAAGTTCAATTTTCTCATCAAATATCATTCATTTATTTTAAATTGTTGAAGAATACGAATGTTCTCAAGCCATTTAGAACATCGCGACCGTGTTGTTTCGGATATACAAACTCTCGCCTTCGGTTCGAGTTTGTATATATCCGATCATACAACGCGGCAGCTTATGTTGTAAATAGTACTAATTAATAATTTCTGAAGAAAACACAAAGAAATCATGCCGACCGCGAAAGAGCTTGTATATCCGATTAACTTAAATAAAATACATGGTAGTGTTCGGAAAACATCAAGAACATCCAACCAAGATCGCGTGACAGCTAACCGTTCTATGCATGTACGCCTAGAGTGCCTATTTTTGAATAAAATCTCGAGTTAAAATCGATGAATCTTTTGAATTATATATCGAGTGAGATGTTCAAAATCTCGAGTGTTTTGTTTCATTTGATAAAAATTGCAATGTTGACATTGCAAGGCAATTAATTGTCTCATTTTCTCTTCCGATATTCTGCAATACTAGGTCTATAGGAGACAGTGTACCTGTCTAGCAGTGTTTATTCATGTTTACATTAGTTCAGGCTATTCCTGTTTTTTTGTTAACAAGATCCAGTCCTTAAGACGCCTTTATGGCTACCTAAATAGATTAATAAAAGATAGGGCTGACGAATTGATCGTGAACAACCTGATGGAATACCTAAATATAAGTTCAGCCGGTGTACCATTGTAATAATACATAGTTTTTCTGTTAACAAATTTTATTTTAATTCTGTTAACGAAAGTGTACTTGCCCAAATGGCCTCGTTCTCGTGTGGTTATTTCCTCACGTTTCATGCAAAATAGTTTTAGAAGAATAGGCTAATTGTGATTGGAATGAAGATCAAAATTTGCGCACAAAACATGGGGAGTTAACCTTCATGTGCGCCTGCTTTGCTAAAACAGGCAACACGAAAACGAGGCCATGCGGGGAAAAGTGCAATAAAACAGTAAAGCCTATTCTAACAGCAATAAAAATTCATTTAGTCATGATGCATGGCAATGTTTATTAATGAGATGAGAAATGATTATTTTCTGCATTTTGTAAGATTACTAATTTACCATTTAACTTCGTAGATCATAACTGCATGTTTCTCCTCAGTTCAACCGTATCATGTAACGTAATAACGTATTTTTCGTGTTAAATGGTCATTAGTGCCACCCTAGTGTTCAAGAAACAAAGAAATACCCTAGGTTTCGATTCAATATGGTTAAAGTGGAAAATAGATCTAATAGAATAATAAATTTAATCTAATTTGCATATGGTGCGTAGACTTGTTACTTTCAACAGAACAAATAAAAGCACAGTTTTAACTTGCGCTTCCTATTATGAATTCATTGTTGACAATCTGACGCCATTCTGTATACACAATGAAGAAAGGCAAATAAATGTGCGCGCGGAAAATGCGAGGGCTCCACCGAAAGCTTATCACTTCATAAAGTGACAAATGTTAGCAAAGGAGACGTTATCTTAAAACTAGACGGTCACTTCCGATTTTATTCTCATTCGCTTGTAAACCATATGCTTTTAGGGAGCAGAACTAACCCTTTAGGCAAAGTTTGGCTGACAAATCCCCCTTGTAGAGGATTATATTGTGGCCTTACTGTACAAAAACTCTCACGCAAAGACTGAGAATCACGCAGGGTTGAGAACAATGATAGTTAACTGCTAAATCAATAAGTGTCGACAGGGGAACACTTTTGGCCACGAGACAAGAAATAATTTGAATCATGTGGGAAAAGCATCGTTCGTGTAGTCAGTTTGAAGGATGCAACTGCTTGCAAAATTGTCGAAGCCTGTTTTCTCTTTCAACCGTATCGTACCAGAACGTATAGCGCATTTACTTATTTCATGAGCACTACTGTAGAATTATTGAGCGAACTTAAGCAAGGGTTAATCTAATACGTGACAAGAAACCGCCTTAAATTTTACACTTTTAATTATAATTATAATTATAAAGAACTACTTTTATTAAGAACCTCAACAGGCAGGACAAAAGTGCCAACAAGGACGGCTATTAATATCATATTAACGCAAAAAAATGAGCAGAATTAACAGTTACAATCCCACGGAAGTTTTAGACGTTGCCGTTGCTCTGTTTACAACGGCAAAATGCAGATTATCACGTGTTGTATACAACGCTTATGTATTTCAAGCTGGGACAAATGCTATTTTAAATTGGGTCCTATAACTTTTGTCAATCTTAAACCCTGTGTTAACCTCAATCCTTGAACTGTATTATTTTCATACGATGGACAATAGAGGCAATAGACGACAGGTTTTCTTCTGCAATCATTTGGTTCAACGAGCTTGTTTGCCGTCTTACCCGTCTACATATAAGGTCGCTAATGACTTTGACCACGGTTAATAGACCTGCTTTGCTACGAAGGGTACGTTACGATTTACGATACGTTACCGTTATTCATTGAAGTGTAAAACAGACTTGGTCTTTATCGTAAAATCAACAACGCACTACCTATATTTTTTACGTTTCCGAGTATATATATATATCCGTTTTCATTACCATGTCGAGCCTGTTTTTGTAATTGTTCACATTTTTGTTCGCTTGTGTAATTCCTGAAAGTGTGTCACTTAAGGAAATCCGCAAGGAAATATTTCAAATTCAAAACAAAGTTTTGCGCGGGGGAGTTGAGTGTATCGAAAGTCGCCCCTTCTTCCTGCATGACGACAGCACAGAATAGAGACAAACAGAAGGTCGACTCAGCCAAAAAAGCGTAACCGCTGCTGACACCATGATTCGCAATGATTCGTCATCAAAATGCTGTCGACCTTCTGTATAGTTCCTATTCTGTGTCGACAGCTCAGTTCAGGAACAGGGAAGGATAAGACTAAGAAGTTTCCTCGTTTCGGTTGGAACGACCTGATCACGAAAAAGAAAGAAAGCGCAAATATTCGACGTTTTTGAAGTTTTCTTCATCTGAGCAGAACCCCACATTTGAAATTTTATCACAAAGAATAGGAATAGCTTGTCTGGGGTGGACACACTCCAGAAGAGAGTATCATCTTCACTTTATCTTCACCTGAGTAAATATACCACAATCATTACATTCATGAACTGATAATAATGTTTGACAGTTTTCGCTTGAATGAGTTATTGAGTTAAAGGTTTGATTATGGAGTTGGTCAACGTGCGTTTTCTCATACAGTATGCATGCGTTTACTAGGTTTTTTACAAAACGGCACACATGTAAAATTTGTAGAGATATTATATCGTGGCCTTACTGTACAAAAACTCTCACGCAAAGACTGAGAATCACGCAGGGCTGAGAACAATGAATGTTAACTGCTAAATCAATAAGTGTCGACAAGGGAACACTTCTGGCCACGAGACAAGAAATAATTTGAATCATGTGGGAAAAGCATTATTCAGGAGGTTATTTGAAGGACGCGCAACTCTTTAAAAATTGTCGAGGCCTGTTTTCTCTTTCAACCGTATCGTACCAGAACGTATAGAGTATTTCTATATTTCATGAGCACTGGTATAGAATTAATGGACTTGATTTAACAGGAAAGCACTATATACTGTAGAATTAATATATTTCATGAGCACTATAGTGTAGAATTAATAGACCTGCTTTGATAGGAAGGGTACGTTATACGATACCATTATTTATTAAAGTGAAAACATGCTTAATAGTCTTTGTCGTAAAATCAACAACGTACTACCTATGTTTTTGACGTTTCCGACTATAAATTGTGGAGTTGGTCAAACATTCGTGCCACGTTTTCTCATTACATATATGCATGCGTTTACTATGTTTTTCAAAAGTTTTTATAAAGAATTTTGAAAAAGTACTGAATATAAAATCTCGCGCATATAGATAGTTTATTTTACTATTCTGCTTGGGCCGGTTGTTCAAAGCTGAGTTAGCTTAACCCTATAGGTTAACCAAAAATTCAATGCAAACTTCCTGGCAGCTTCTTTACAAATTTGGAAATGATTCTTGAGAAATCTTGTCTGGATCGATAGGAGTTTACTTCTCTGAAGTTTTGAAATAATCAGAAGTACAGAAATACATAAACTAAAACAGCAGGTTAAATTTTAACCGCGAGGGTTAGCGCTAATCCAGCTTTGAACAACTGGCCTGGAGAATAGAATTATATTACATAATTTTCAGTTTGATTATGAAAAACGGTTTATAGTAGTAGCTATAAATGTACTGTATCTTTTGAACTTTCAGATAAAAAACGATGAAAGTAAAGTTTGCCGCAGTGTTTGGCTGCTGCATGGTTTTACCCTTCATTGCCGTCAATTAGTGTTTAAAGTCTCTCAGGGATGCGAGGTAAGTGCCTGTAAAATTTGATTGCTTTAAATTTAAACCAGATGAGTAGAAAGTCGCGACATTTTGTCGATGGCGACATCCTTGAGACTATAGATCCTGTTGTTAGTGACAAGAACAAGGAAACAAGACGGAATTATCTGCTCGTCTTTCACTGCGATTCATTTGTGAGCTCAGTGAGGAAACACAGCTGGAATGTCTCGATCGTGAGACAGTGCGTCCAATTTAGTTCTCATAAGAAAGCGCCGAGGCTAGTGCTAATTATATCTTAGGTTCAGCTCAGCGTGGATAGCGTTGAAAAATTTCCAGGAAGTATTTTCTGCATCCTTCAACCATTTTCTTCTCATTTTATAATGTACTGTATATGGGCTAGCGCTTCAAGATTCTTGCTTCCTAATTCCTATATAGATTTTATAATGATCTCAATTTTAGAAATCCTAACAAAGTAATCGTAACAAAGATATGGGTTATTATTGTTTTATTTAACTGAAACGATTCAATACGATGAACTTTACATCGTAATGTTGTCATATTGACCTGCATGAAAGATAAGTCCAATTGCGCCATTTTAAAAATTCTTGAGTGCGCTACTAGCTGCCATACTTTGCGCGCTGGACCTGTCATCTATTAAATCATTCCTACTATATTCGTCTATTTCAAAAAAGCCGAAATCTTATATGCTATTGCGAGCTTTTAGACTAGCTCGTTTCTGATCTTGACCCTTTAAGTGGCGGAACGACCAGAATTAAGAGGTCGAAACATATTCTAATGCGATAATAAGTGTCCATGGCATTGCGACTGATCAACAGATTACTATTACAGAGTTTTTAGCTAGAATAGGAGTATACTTTTTAGTTTGCAAAATACATTATTTCTTCGAAAGGATATGCTATTCACCTGTATAGAAGTGTTATTTGTGCAAAGCTCTATGGTTAAAAAATATATAGTTCAGAAATTGTATGCCTAAAAATGGCTTAAATACTTTCTTTCGATGACTAAAGGCGGCAGATCTGTTTAATGTATGCACAAACTATGCGTTAAATGCGCGCAGATGATAGCTCAAGTGGGAAAAAAAGTTTGCGGGTCTCGCATGCATGCCAACGGATTTGCGCATATTATGTAAATATTATGTTTTATACACGTATGTAGCTTATATCTGCGCTAGTGTGTTTTCAATTGTTATATACCTACGTCATTTCAGTTTCGTCAATAATACGGGCAATTGAATATATATCTGCCATAAATATTTGCATACGGTGCGTTTGCATTGTTATTTTATTGCGCATGCAAAATGTAATTAAGCTCTCTCTGCGAAATGTAATCGCGCGCATTTTGTGTTAATTAATGGTAAACGAGTTGCCCACGCGTCGATCTTATCTCGTTCAACGTCATTCTGGTATAAAGCTCGACGTGAGTCAGAAGGGAGGGACAGAAGTCATCTGAAAGTCAAAGCTTGCCAAACTCAAAGATGCTCGAAAGTTTCGCAATGAACAGACCAATAAATAATGACGAGATTGAAGTATTTTTGCGTTCATTTTCGTACGCTGATCTTTGCCAAGAACTGTCGACCGCAACCGGGAGTACAGCGAGTACTGGTGAAATTCGTGGTGAAGTTCATCATGGCAATCGAATCAATGAAAGTCATCCAGCATTCTGTCATACTGAAACACCAAGTGAACCTTTCATTATTAACCCAAGACAACACCAGTTGAATGTTGGAGAAGTAAATAGAGGTGGGTTTTCAGACTGAAATTTGTGTAAATAGTTTATTGAAATTGACTTTATTTACAGAGGCAGATAGCGTAACAACTAGTTGTTTTATTTGGCTTCTGTTCGTATAAGTCGTTTGTAAACTTTTATAAAATATTGTTTTCCCTTTCCTTTAAAAGTAGACGTATATTTTAGTTGAATAATTCTTGCTGAATAATAGATCTTAATAGCGCTGTTTAAATGGCAAATTTTGTTTATGGTTGAGATAATCACGTCATTTACACTAAAGTATTCAAATTTTATTTTGTCTCCAACAAAACTGAAAAGTGTACAAGAACTTTGCGAAAGTCGATCGGACTAATTGATCAAAAGATTCAGTGGAGGTACAGCGTATAATTGTAAAGTATATAAGATTAAACAAATGTTTACGATTTGCGCTCTTTACACAAAGAAGGCAACTTCATCCTGCGATCAAGGTTTAGACTTTGGTATATATATCTGGCGATTACTAATTATTGCACTCAGCGCATGAGATGGTGTTTGCTGCGGTCATTTAATGGTTAATTGTCGCGTCCATGCGGTTAGGTCGGTGTTTACACTCGCTGTTGGGAACATTGACCTATCCCTGATAATTAGAAACAGAGAATCCCGAGGTCTTCACTTCAGAGTTAAGTTACTCCCAATGACAATGTTTAAGATTCAGTTTGTTGATGCTATACAGACATTATTGCATACAGTATCAAGTTGATTTTTAAAAAATTATAATTCTAGTTGATTCAAACAAGTTGAAATCGTGCGCGCAATCGCGCGCGGAAATAAAATGCATTGTAATTCATGTGTGAAGCATTTAACAATCGTATTCCCGAACTCGCGCACGGATTAAGCGCGGATCAAACGAGGATGAGAGTTCACGAGAGTTGGCATGCAGTCACGCGATCTTGGTTAACTGTTCTTAAAGTTTCCCAACACTATTATGTATTCTATTTAAGTTAACACATAGTTGGAATACTCATCAAACATTTATTTTGTTAATCTAGAGCTTGAAATATCCCCTGTAACAATTGATGACTGCCATCGACTCTCATTAATAGAGACCTTACGATTTTAGGACGGCAACGCGACGGCAACGGCTACCAATACAATAGATCATTGAAAAGAATTGAGTAATTACAATATATGAATAATTTAGACATTGTCCTCGCTCTGTTTACAACGCCAAATCACAGATTTTCACGTTTTGATACAACGGCTGCATTCCAAGCCACAACAAGTGCAACTTCAAACTGGGTTTAGCAGAACTCTTCCCAACCATAAAACCCATGTCTTCAACTTCTAAGACTGTATTAAATTCATACGATTGATAATATACGACGAACTATCGACTACCATTTATTTGAAGGAGTTTGTTTTGGCCGTCGCGGTTGCCGTCCTAAAATCGTAAGGTTTCTATTCTCGTTTTGACGGGTTCTTTATGCACCCATACTTGAAGCGCTTGTCTCAATTTCAATGAGCTGTTACTTACAGAGTTACTTAAAATCAGTGTGATCCGATATATGTCAACTGTTGTCTACTTGAAAGTAAAGGTTAGAGTTACTGAATGTACATCAATTCGAATTCATGTCATCGAAGTAGATCGTTTGTTTGGTTTTGTGAGTTTAATACGGAATTGACATCATAGTGCATGTTAAAAAAACATCGCTTGTACTTGGCTAAAGAGTGCTTTAAAGTTACTTCGAGGTAAAATTAATCATTTGTTTGCATTGCCCCACCGAAAACTAATAATCACTGGGTAAGAATATATTGTGATCAAGGAAGATTTTGCAACAAGTTTATAAAGGTTAATTGTTACTCTTGTATTTCCATGACGTTCACTGCGCTATTCTATAGCTTGTTGTTTGTCTGCAGTCTTCTAATGTTATTCTTAGAAAGGATAAACTATGTTGGGGTACTTTAGTGAGCCACAAGAACGCGCTAATCGTCTTAACACCGCTTCAGGTTATAAACCTTCCATTATACTCAACAAACAAGAGAGTCAATTTCCGAACACCTTTAATATACTTATATCGTACATGAAACCTGTGATGAAACTGGCTGTTTAATTGGACAATTTAACCTTACATGCACACTTGTTAGTAGTTGTTATTAATCTGACTGTTCTGCGGTGCTTTACTGTATTATTCCAAACGTTTGTATCGCCGAGGCATCATATAGAAAATGTGAATGGTTGCCATGCATTGCGGTCATAGTTCCTCCCTCTCTCGTTGCATACCAGTCCAGAAATTTTAATCAAACTGTGTTCTAGACCAACACAACATGCCGCCAAAACAGAATTTTGCTGCAGAGATTATATAACACCTTCCCGCTACTTTTTATGAGAGCATAAAAAATTTATCCATGCACAGCTACAAATGCACAATACAACGGTCGGGAAGAGAAGTAAGACGACAGTTCCTGTAATTTCTTATGGTAAAAGTACGAAAAATTACCATGCAAACATTATTAAAGGCCTGCATTTAAACACAAGCCCACTATACATGCTGAGGACATAACATTTCGATTGAATATTCATCTAAACTACAGAATGTTCTATCATATCGTGGTACAAGAGTGTACGAATTGATAAAAGTCCAGTATAAAACCACTTCGTATTTCTTTCCATCCATTTTCTCTTTAATATTGACTGATCTCTCAATACATATCTCGTCTATCCTCGCATCTAGCAAGTTTGCTCCCCCCCCCTGATCATGCTTGACTCTCATCCTATATAGCTAAGAAAATAAAGGTGTGTCTTTGTTCCCCCGCCAGAATGTCTGCGCTAAAAATATTCACACTTTTCCCCTTTTCACTGCTACTTAGCACGTTATATAGTTAACCACATTAGCTATAATAAAAAATGATGTTCTAATCCTTTCATTCTACAAAATGGTTAATTATAGAGAAAAGGTTAAAAATATTGAGAATATAAGAATATCGAACAGACATGTCTCCTAGATGGTTTCCGCTGGTCGTCTCGTTCAAGATTATCTAAATCTCAACCTTTCATCGCCCAGTCGTTGAAATTGACGTAAACTGAACATCCCAGAGTTTATTTGAATTTAAATTTGGTTTAAAGCCAAAAATATGTAATCGAAAATGGGTGTGGGAATCACCCTTCGGCACTATATAGAGACAGGGCTAGTTAAAATGATAATCAGATCTTTTCTTTGAGGAGTGTGGACCGAACAATGTTAATCCTAAAATAAACTGAATAATTCTAACTTTATTTATGCTGGATAGCTCTATCATTTCTAAATTATTCTCCCCTAACGTCCAGTAAAAGCAATGCTTTATTAAAATCGTCTGTTACTGTAGGGGAAAACCTAAACAAACCTAACATTGATACTTGATAGCTTTTTCAGTTCTAAACTGTTCTCCCTTGAAGTTCAGTGTAAAGGCAATCCCTTGTTAGTCCATTGTTACTACAGCGGAAAACCGGCTAAACAACTTTATTGGTACTGGATTGCTGCATCGATTCTTATCCGTTCTTCTTTGAAATACAGTATAGGGGCTATCGTTTATTGCTCTAAATTTACTACATCCATCCCAAATCTACTTCCATCTACAAATATTAATAAGGCCTGTTTCACTAGATATCTGAGCTTGAGTCAAGGCTGAATCGTGCCCAGTATTGATCTTACTTGTGCTATTGTGTAAGATTGTAAATACTGTATACGGTGATAAGTACTACTTTATGCATTTTTTTTTTTAATTTGCACGCCCCTCATTGAAATCAGATTTAGTTGTTGAGTATGTATGTAAATCATTACAAGGTTTAGTTTAAGTTTTCTTCTGTAATAACACTCAGTGGACTGCTAAAGGATGGCCTTTACTGTCTGTGCACTTGGATGAAAATTTCCATTGTCTTTTTGCTAAGCCAGAATTAAAGATGATTACTTATAATCTTAGCAAAAATGAGCAAAATAATACGGACATGATCTTATGGTCTACGTTGTTATATTGTCTAAGTAAACAAAAACCCTGTTATATCAAATTGCAATGTACAGGAAACACGAGTTTATCAACAACATACACGATTACAATAGCGGAAACATTCTTATTACATTAGCGGAAACATTCTTATTTTCCTGTTTCCGAAAATGTATTCAAGTATTACAGATGTTCTCTATATGACACTGACCACTACGTAACTCTGGACTATTTGTGGGTTTCAGTAAGCGATAGTGGTCACTCAATTTCAGAAATGTTATCTCTTTATAAGGCTGGCCGGTTTACACTATCCAAGTTTCTGTGAGTGTGATCACAGTAGGAATTTTGCATATAGGTTAATTCTAACTTTTGAAGGATTGGTAAGAAATACTTGAGGGAACTGACTTAGTGTTTAACACTTACCGATGCAAAATTCCTACTGTGATCACAGAAACTTTGATAGTGTAATTCAAGCTTTGTAGAAGCAAGAAGATTAAACTATAGATCTCTGAAGAGTCCCACATTAATCGCTGAAGAGTCACACATTAACATTTAATTTATTTCCTCATTCTGATAATTGCCATCCGTTCATCCGTACCATGGTCAACACGGTAATGCTTTATGAAATCTGGCTATAGATGTATTGTTTCAAAAATCGAATCAATGTGTAACCAATTGTAAAGATATATCAATGACAAGTGAATTAATGTAGACTTTCAGTTCTAATTTAAGTACGCCCTTAGACTTTGGCAAACTTAGAGATTCTTGTTCGTCTAATAAGGGTGGAGACTTGACGTTTTGAACAAACCAAATTCTTCCAGACAAATGTATTTTTTAAGCTGGGAGCAGTGTCTGGAAGTAGTATTTTTTCGCATGCCATGTACTTCCCTTTCTTTTTTTGGCACTGTATTTCCTTTTTATAGGCACTGTATTATGTAATCGAGGGATTTTTTCGAGTAAATCATTAAAATAATAATCATTTAATTTTAGGGACCCTGCAAATGGAGCAATAAGCTCTGTAGGGTTAACCTGTCATTTATGACTAAGTTTATAAAAAAAAAATTTAAATAAATTTTGAAAGGTGGGATTGCTCGTATAATACTTAAAATGTTGAGCTGAGCCATTGGTGGGACAAGTGGTTAAGGTTTTCCCTAAGAAGCAAGGCACTGAATATACCCGTCAGTTGTTTTTACATTGTAATTTCATATTGTGTCGAGTTTGGGAGTGCTTATATCGTGCCGATAGTGCAATGTAATAAGGTTAGGACAGGGCTTTGGTGGGACAATTTGTTAACATTTTCCCACTTTTTTAAGCTGGGAGCAGTGGCTGGAAGTAGTGTTGAGACCACTTGCAGTTGACCTTTTTAAAGCTCATGGTAGTCATGCATGCGTGACATCTCAACGATAAAACGTGATATCTCAACGAAAACTGCTAGTCGTGAGAATGTAGAGTAATGATCTCGAGTTTCATCATAGGTTTCATTCATCATATGCAAATTTTTGCCAAATAGTGCTCAAAATGTAGAGCTAAGAATGGGAGAAGTGGGGTTAAATTTTGCCCGAAGAAAGAAAGAGAGTTCATTGGATATATTGGTGGTATATTCTTACAGTACTAGATCTAAATCAGAGAAGACTAATAAATATATACCTTTAATTCTACGTCATGGTGATTTGATACAGCGTCAAATGGGAGTGATCATATAGTTGTAAAATCCAGAGCTAATCCATTGGTCAAATATGGGAGTTGATAAATTATTTTGCTCAAAGTGCAATGTGATAAGGTTATAAGTGGGTGGGAGAAGTGAAAAACTCACAGTGTTGGACGAGAAACCATACTGTTATATATACTTATACTAAATATACAGACTGAAGCAAATCATGGTCACCTGCATGCAGTATAACACACATGCGAAATAAATTATTTATTCACTCTTTGAACGATACAACAACTTAATACAAGCTTTCAACTGTCAGAAGTTAAATCAGATTGTTTTTTGTTTTCCGCATGCCATGACCATGTATTTCCTTTTCTGTCACCGTATTTCTTTTTTGGCACTATTTCTTTTTTGGCACTGTATTTCGTCCCTTAATAAGTAGCTGTAATGTAATCGAGGAATTTTTTCGAGTAAATTATTAAATTAAAAATACATAATACTTAAAATGTTGAGCTGAGCCATTGGGTGGGACAAGTGGTTGGGGTTTTCCCTAAGAAGGAATGCATTGAATATATCCCTGAGTTGTTTTTACATTGTAATTTCATATTGGGTCGAATTTGGGTGTGCTTATATCGTGCTGACAGTGCAATGTAATAAGGTTAAGACAGGGCTTTGGTGGGACAATTTGTTAGCATTTTCGCACTTTTTTAAAGCTTGGAGCAGTGGCTGGAAGTAGTGTTGAGACCACTTGCAGTTGACCTTAAAGCTCGTGGTATAGTCATGCATGGGTGACATCTCAACGACAACTTGAAAAAAACTGCTAGTGAGAATATAGAGTAATGATCTCCAGTTTCATCACAGGTTTCATTCATCATATGCAAATTTTTGCCAAATAGTGCTCAAAATGTAGGGCTAAGAATGGGAGAAGTGGGGTTAACATTTTGCCCAAAGAAAGAGAGATGATACAACGACTTAATACAAGCTTTCAACTGTCAGAAGTTAAATCAGATTGTTTTTTGTTTTTCCTCATGCCCTGCATGTATTTTCCTGTCCCTAATAAGGGTGGAGACTTGACGTTTTGAACAAACCAAGTTCTTCCGGACAAATGTATTTTTTAAGCTGAGTGCAGTGGCTGGAACTAGTATTTTTCCGCATGCCATGCACTTCCCTTTCTTTTTTTGGCACTGTATTTCCTTTTTAGGCACTGTATTTCGTCCCTTAATAAGGAGCTGTAGTGTAATCCAGGAATTTTTTCGAGTAAATTATTAAATTAAGGTGGACATTGGGTGGGACAAGTGGTTGAGGTTTTCCCTAAGAATGAAGGTATTGAATATGCAGTTGTTTTTACATTGTAATTTCATATTGGGTCGAATTTGGGAGTGCTTATATCGTGCCGATAGTGCAATGTAATAAGGTTAGGACAGGGCTTTGGAGGGACAATTTGTTAACATTTTCCAACTTTTTTAAGCTGGGAGCAGTGGCTGGAAGTAATGTTGAGTCTGTTGAGAGACATCTCAACGACAACTTGAAAAAAACTGCCAGTGAGAATGTAGAGTAATGATCTCCAGTTCCATCACAGGTTTCATTCATTATATATGCAAATTTTTGCCAAATAGTGCTCAAAATGACAGCTGAGAATGGGAGAAGTGGGGTTTGCCTGAAGAAAGAGAGGCATTGGAATGGATATATTAGTGATATATCCCCACAGTATAATCCAGATCAAAATCCAGAGCTAAGCCATTGTGCATGTAGGGTCAAATTTGGGAGTGGATATATGATATTGCTCAAAGTGCAATGTGATAAGGTTATAAGTGGGTGGGAGAAGTGAAAAACTTACAGTGTTGGACGAGAAACCATACTGTTCTATATACAGACTGAAACAAATCATGGTCATTGCGTGCAGTATGACACACATGCGAAATAAATCATTTACTCATTCTTTGAATGATACAACAACTTAATACAAGTTTTCAACTGTCAGAGGTTTAATCAGATTGGGTTTTTTTTTTGTTGTTAGCATTTTCCCCACAGTCCCTTTATAAGGAGCTGCATCGTGTTTGGCAGATCATTCAGACTACATGTGGCGAACGAACGCAGAGCAATAAATAAGGCGGGGAAAAGCAGAGCAATAACTAAGTCTTACACATAAATCTGTTGAATTTTATACAGTATATTAACTGGAGAAAATACCTCGAGGGTTCCCGTGTAGGTAGGGCGTACCCTTGCAGATGGATTTGGGGGTTATTAGTTTATTGTGAATCGTGTTACAATGTAATAATTGATGTGACAGCAACAGGCCTGAATTTAATCTTCTCACGAGGGAGTGACTTCACTCAACGCATCAGTTCATTCAATTTAACTCAATTCCTGAGGTTAACTTTTCAACTCAATTCACTTAACAGTAGTGTACTATACTAAAAATTTAATATACCAGTAGGAGCTATGGTTAATATATACATGAGCTTGGATGAAAGATCTAACAACTTAAAAAACATAAGAACTACCTTCAACGGAATTCGTGAATACTGTTTATCGCTAGTGGCGTTCCTTTTCCATTCCATTGGCAGGAGGGGTGTGGGGGTGAGGTTGACACCCCCTTACCGACGAAAAGGGTGTTGCCCCACTTGCCCCCTCCCTTCGATTTCGATCTAAGTCTGAAAATTTAAAGTTGAATTTTGAACATTCTCTAACAGGTACAATGTGATTCAATATGATTAAAATTCTATATGGTAAAGCACTATTTGTAATTTGTAAAATTCAACTGAAGCAGGTTAAGTGTTTCATAAAGACGCTATATTAAAAATTAGCAAAAAGTGGGGTATATAAGTATCACTTGAGAGGTAAAGATTGATGGGGGAGTTGTTTGGAAGGTGAAATTAAAACGTGTAACTGATATAAGCTTAATAATAATATATGTGCATGGCTACAAAATTTAAACCTTGCAAACTTTCATGGAACTTATTGCTCTTTTATTTGTTCAGAAATGCCCAAGGCATGCACGAACGACAAACGTAAAAGAACTCTGTTCACTCCGATGCAATTGACACGTATGGAAGAAGAATTTCGACAAAACATGTACGTGGTTGGTTTGAAAAGATGGCGACTGGCCACAGAGCTCTGTTTGACAGAAAAACAGATCAAAATTTGGTTCCAAAACCGAAGAATGAAACTAAAAAGAGAACAAGTGAAAAGTCGATGTTTGAAAACAGGATTTCCTTGGTATTGAAGACCTCCAGGTTTATGTGAAGTTTATAAAAAAAATGGGATTTAAAGACCTGGGATTTAAAGATGTTTCCACAAAAATCGAGGAAGAAAGGAAATGCATAGAAATGAATATTACCTTGAGGAAAAAATTGATTTTTAAAATGGAAATTCATTTTATTGTCAGGTGTAACCCGAAATTGCTGTAAATAGTTGGCAACTATTTGCTTACGTTTGTCGACATAAGGAAAGTGCAGTGTATAAGAGCATTGTAGTGCCATATGCTAAAAATTATGTACATGGGGTTCCTCAGGGATCTACAAATGTCCCACTCATACTCTTTGCCAAGTGTTGTTAATTATAGGGACGTCGCTACTGGGGGTAACACCTCAATATTTTTTAAAGTTCAAAACGTTTGTCAAAATGGAAAATATTTGGTCAAAATAGTTGGTCACTTGTTGGTTTTTCAAATTGGTTTACATTGTCAACTAACTATAGTAGTACTCAAAAGCGCAAAGAAAAATAAGTATTTTGACTTGTGCGAACTTTTCACCTTGTAAAAAACCATCTCACGAACATTCAGTCTCTACAGAAAAAGAAGTGTTTTGACTTGTGCGAACTTTTAACCTTGTAAAAAACCACCTCACAAATATTCAGTTTCTCCATCATGAATTTGATGGAGTGAGACCTTTGAAACGTTGGTCAAAATGTTCTCCAAAACTTGGTCAAAATATCAGGACACCCCCCAATGTTAATGACTTCGCGACATCCCTGATTAATTATTTCATGCAATATATATATATGCCCTCACATTTTTATTTTGAATCTTTTTCAAATGAATGTGGATATTTAATCGCTCCATGTAAATACGTTTCTTCTTAACATGTATATTGAAATATATTGAATATATATATAGTAGATTTTTGTCATTCTGTATTGTTATTTTGGTGCCTATGTTTAACAACAATGGGTAGATTCCGGCCTTGCTGTTTATGCGTTCCTAACTCATACCACATAATAGGAACCTTACAAAACGTCGACGTCATCAAAATGCATTCGTCATGTTCCTAGTCAGTGCGTTTATGAGAGGCATTCACCCCCCTGAACGTCCGCCATTTTAAATATTTTCAGGGGGGTGAATGCCTCTGACAATCTGTCCCCATATCGTTGACCCTAATCCCATGTTGGAGTCATTTGTCTTATTTTTACAACCGTTGTAAAATGCTTGAAAAGCTATAAAACTACGGATATGGATCATTGGATCTCACAATTTATAAAAAGAAACTTTAATTTATAAATACGAAGGTTTATTCTGGGTTATACCAATCAACGGCCATGTTTAGAAAGCTGGAAAGATCACTCTCTGAGGCCAGTTGCACGAAGGCCGGATAGCGCTCTAAACATACCTGAAAAAGCTGCAAAACCACGGACATCATGATGATAAACTTTATTTAACCACGCTAACATTGTCAGCTAAACCTGGTTTCCACAATGGGCGTGTAAAACAACAAATTATTACAAGTTTAAAAATTATTAAGGAAGGAGCATGCAAATATAAAATTCTATATAGATACAGTATCTACAAAGATGATGTGTTTTAAAAGCGATGAGTATAGCGATTTTCCTTTAAAAACTCGATAACCGTTTGCTTTCTCTTATGTTTTCTGGTAAAGAGTTCCATATGGAGGCACCTGATCATACATAAAACTCTTTTTCAAACTATACGAACGTAGTAAACGTATGCTGCTTGAGCTGTCACAAAGATTGTGGTTCAATAGTTCCTTTTTGAAAGACAATTTGGCCCCATATTATGAAGTATTTTAAACATCATTTTTGCTTTTAATTAGCTTTCATTCTTTGTGTTTTGAGTGTTTCCCATCCTAACAAGGGACCAGTCATAAAGTATGGGGGGGGGGGGGGGCTGGGAAAAAAAAGGGGGTTGGGGGGGTCACCATTTTCATGCTTGCAAAAAGGGGTGGGCCAGAGAAAATTGTGCACTACGTTAGGGGTGGTCATGTGTGAATATGTTTTAATTTACACTGTTAATTAACCCATTAAGCGACACCGCTCTCCCCTTGACAAGTAGAATCGTTTGGCGTTAGACAGAGTGAAATCGTCTGGCGTTAGACACAGCAAAATAATAAAGTGGGGCGCATCAGGGTGAAATGCAACTCAATGGGTTAACTGTTAAGGGTTATTCAAGCTCACATAATGATGTATGACCAACCTAAACTTTTCATATTACACGAACTTTAATGTATATATGAACACAGTGTACTAAACTTGTTCGTAAATCTGCGACTCAATGGGTTAACTAGACACATGGGCAGATAGGTTAGTTAACCCATTAAGTGCCAGCGCTCTCCCCTTGACGAGTAAGATTATCAGGCGTTAGACAGAGTAAAATAATCTGGCGTTGGACAGAGTAAAAGAATAAAGTGGGGCGCATCCGGGTGCAATGCAACTCAATGGGTTAACTGTTAAGGATTATTCAAGCTCACATAATGCATGAGTACCAGGGCCGCCGAGAGGGGGGGGGGGCAAATTGCCCCTGGCCCCTAGGTTCTGGGGTCCCTAGAAAATTTTTGTTGGGCCCAGTCATTTTTTGGGTCAAATATTTTCGCGCAAAGAGCAAGGTATTTTTTGGGGGGGAAATACCCAAATTTGGTATGAAAAATTGAGGTAAAGGCGCTGGAAAACAATTGTAACGTACTCGTCCGGAAAACTTTTTTCCCTAAAAAGTTGTCGACGTGGGAGGTGGGGGGAGCTTGTTCTCCAAAAAAATTTTTTTCTGGAAAAAATGTTTGAAATAGGGGCCCCTAAAGAAAAATTTTCCCCGGGCCCCCGCCAACCTCTCGGCGGCCCTGTGCATTACAACCTAAACTTTTCATTTTACACGAACTTTGATGTATATATGAACGCAGTATACTAAACTTGTTCGTAAGTTTCAATGAAGGAAATATTCGAAAGTTTAAACCATAGTTTTTGGTGTAAAATATGTAATTGGACAAATACTGGTGTAAGATATTGTATAAGACATATATGTATAATAAATATAAACTATGGAAACTACGATTATAGGAACTAAAAAAGGTGAAATATTTTGTGGGACATGATATAAAAGGCGAGAGATTGAAAATGAGTAGGAAAGGCAACCTATGTACGCGTTTCAACCCAACAGTCTTCTTCAGCAGGGTTTTTTAAGAGTGTTGTAGGTACAATTTGCAGAGGAGAAGGAAGGAGTTCGGATAATAATGTGAGACCAAGAGAAAAAATTATTACGAAGTAATTGAAAATAACCAATTACACAATATTAACAAAAATGAAAGGTGGAAAGATAGTGAAAAATGATATAACCACTACATGTTATTAGTCAAGTTATCCTACCAAAGATCTTGTTAGTGCGGGACATTCCAACACCACGAATTTTATTGTTCATCTTTTCATGCAGTTAATTTTGAAGCAGAGCGAATGACAGGTCCTTTTAGAGCTAGCTTACTTAACAGTACAGTGAGTTTAAATTATTGTGATGGTAAGGGTGGAGTAGGATTTATCTATGTAGTGTGATCATGTGACTGTATGTGATTGCATCCTGAATGGTGAAGGGAGCTTAAATGACAGGGATAGGGACGTTTGGCAATAATAAGTGATCCGTAAGGGTTAAAAATTAACGATTACACCCTGCAGGCTTTGATTTTACTTTATTATAAAAGAGTCGTATGTAACGTTTTGGTGTTCTCCAAGCAGTAAAAATATCACCAATAGAAAGTGATCCATGAGTTTCCGGCCTGTTGTTGTCTTTTAGCAAAGGGTGGGTCATTAATTTTTGTGCAAGACTTTAAGGGTGGGCCATTGATAATTAAGCCTTATTCCAGGGGTGGGCCAAGGAAAAATATACTGTTGAAGATTTGATTTCTCCAGCCCCCCCCCCCTATACTTTATGACTGGTCCCTAAATTCAGTACAGTTTGCTGCCTTCGTACAATTCTGAATTTCAGTCATTCAGCCTATATGAGAAAAGCCAAGATGGTGGAAACTGACGTCCAATAGTTATGAGGGTCGTAAACAGTTTTAATACCATTTTTCCCAATGTTATTCTTTAAATCGATGTCAAAATACGAAATGTCGGCACACTCCTTGCAAGCTTCATGTTAACCGCGCAGACAAAAACAATAGAAAGGGACTGGAACTGACGTCTGATCGATCATTGAAATGATTATAACTGGAACGCTACCTTAAGATAAACTGCCTATCTTTTTCTTGAAGCCAAATCTTGACTGGGGTATCTGGTGGTCAAGTGCTGTGGTGATGGATTTTGTTCTTCTTGCCTAGATAAAAATTTAGCCTTTAGCTGGAATTACCCATTGACCAAGTTGGATACTTCGCCAAACTATATATGGGGCATATATCTTAGCTTGCTTAGTCCTTGAGCGGTATTTAACAATTTTTGATATGCAAGTTCTCCCTCACTATGACGTCACATTTCATTGAAAAAACTTGAAGATCTTATGATACCGTGCATCGAACTCATAGAACCGTTCATATGTTTATTGTCAACATACTACTGAAATATATATTACATGTCGACAAATTTGAATCAGTTTTTTTCAGGAAGCCATTGTGAAATTTGACGTCATAGTGAGGATTTGCGTATCGAACAAGCTAAGATAGTTCGACACAGTATCTTATTTGGTCATTTGTGAGTTTTCTTTGCAATGCAATCATAAATCAAAGGCCTTTGAGGCCGACTCACGCCTTTTTCCATTTCACCCATTTGTCGTGCTTCGTTTGCCAAATCAAAAGAACGAACGCGTGATCCAACCCGATTTCCGGTTCTGAAAGGCCCGATTCGCAGGCAAACAGTGCGCGCAAAGCAGACCGGTCATTTCCCATTTCCAACTGCCCCACACTTCGCAACATCCGTGAGTCAAAAAGTGGTGTGAGATTTCATTGCGTAAGTACTTTAAGATGAGACTTGAGACCAACCTCGTACCCAGAGCAACTAAGCGCTGGGTTCGAGGTTGACACCAGACTTGCCTTGTTTACAAAACGCAGCTTCACCTGGCTTTAGCGGAAGCAATAGTAGTAGAGTCTTGTTTTTTAGTACTAGTTAAAACATGAGCAGCCGACCTTACTGTTTAAGTGAGCAGCCGATCGTGTACTGTTTAATAAATGAGCAGGAGTGTTTTATTAGGTTTAAAGCTACGAGCGCGCAGCACGAGTGGCTTTAGACCTAAAAAAACACGTCCTGCGAGTTTATTAAACGGCTTCAAACACGACTACAAATTCAATAGATATACTGCCTTATTAGTATTCTTTATATATAAAGAATACTAATGAGGACATGATTACAATAGATACTACCTTATTAATATTATTTGTATACTAATTAGGAGTGTTTTCAGTGGCGGCGCCAGGGGGGGGCAAGGGGGGGCAAATGACCCCCCAAAATTATTTTTT